TGGAAACAGGTAATAGTAATCGGTTTTTAAGAGTACCCGGTAGAAAATTTATGAAATATTTTCTTTTTACTACTTTCTATTTTTCTTGCGTGTTGCCTTTTTTGGGAAACAGGGAATAAAAGGTAATCGGTTTTCAAGAGTAGCCGGTACATATGTGTTAATATATTCCTCTCGTTTTAGGTTTTTGTTCACCATTATCATGATTATTGCAACTTCTAAAACGATTAGTTTATAGGGTACACCATGTCGTATAAGCAACACAGAATGCAAAAAGCACTTGTATAAATGCTTAACTCATTTGATACAATATATAAGTTTAACTGCGTATAACTTTTAAAGGAAAGTTACTAATGGCACAAATCTTGTAGATCATCTGTGTAGAACGCAAAATTATGCATTATAATAAAATTGTTTCAATGCGGTAGATTTACTTGTTTAATGCAAAATTCTAAAAAATTCCATATTATATTTTATGGAAAAGAAATATCGTCACCTGAAATCCAAAATAACGTGTCATCACTTTTCTTAAGTTTACAGGTGAAGGAAAAACGATATAATAGAAACCACTCATAATGAAGCAAAATTTGGTTTTGGTTATAAAGTGGTTATATATTGGTTATATCTGACAGCGGGAGATTAAAATTTAATGATACGTACATCTATCTAATATGGTGTAGTAAATCGAGAGCAATGTAATGCTCAAACTCGGAAAGTCGTGATTGAAATTGAAAATAAAGAGCTACTTATTTTTAGGGCAAAAACTGAAAAGACGTTTCCCAAATAGCAATCAAATTGAGCAATAACAGAGAGCCTAATATATACATATATGTATTACATTACGATTAATGTTGGTTGCATCTAAGTATAACAACCACATGACCTATTTTAGTTGGATAGCTAACAATACTCTCCAATTAGAAGTACATATCAATTGACGTTACTATCTTAYACCACAACAACAATARCAACAGCAATTGCGTGTCAGCAACATTCCACCACTTATCGTTGACTGCAAATGGCCTACTGAGCAGTTGATGGTGTTGCAATGTGTTTGAATTGACACAATTCTGATGGGTAAATGTTTGTTTTTCTTTTTGCAGCTGCACAAACAGATACCATTTAACACCAATACACACACATACATATATGACTACAACTGAATTGGTTTCTACCAATAACACATACGCTTGTATGCCTAAAGGTAKGCATGTGTGCATGGCTATTGCTCAGCGTAGCCCGTTTTTGGAAAGGCAATTGAGTGTCGCACGATGATCCCGACTGTTTAATGCTATTAACACCAGACAAGGACTGGCTCTTATATGCACACACATACATATATATGTGTAAAATGTGTTGTATATATGTGTGTGCGCTTCATTGATTATTTATTGATACATCAAACACGTGCATGTACATATATAAATATCCCTGTCCATATGCGCCTTCATCACAACATCCGTGCGCTTTTGTGCGTCTGTATTGGTGGCGCCTGGCATTGTATTTGTAACAACATTGTGCATTTTCATGCCGATTTTACTCACCTTCCGTATCGCTGTTGTCCGACACAGGTGGCTCACTCGAAATATATTGTCGTCCACTCAATAAATTGCTTTCGACAATGGGACGTTTGTCCTCCAGTTGACGTCTGAAAGCCTTATGATCGTCCTGCAAGTAGAAATTGTGTTGGTAAATGTATTTTTCGATTGTGTTAGAGCAAATTTTAAGGGCTGCCATTTCTGTGTTGCATTCAAATTAATAATTTACTTGTATTGATAACGATATACAATTATTTATAAAGAATGCATGGCGTTGATTGGTTCTTGGAAAATATTGATTTAAACAAGCAAAAATGTTGTCAAGAGAGCAAGAGACAGCGTTAAAAGGAAGCAAAGGAATTGATAGACATACTATATACATACCAGCTCAGCTTGCTCGATTTGAAAACCATCCAACTAAGCAGCAAACTATTCTTCTTCAACTAACTGGTACTTTTCACGAGTACTTCTCTAAAATTTGCCAAATAATAAATTATTTAGCTCATAATTACATCCAAAGCATTATTAACTTGAGGTTTCTTCATAGTTCAGTTGATTGGATCGGGAAAGTATTTGTACTTATAAGTAAAAATGCTTCCTTTCCAAAATGCCTTTCTAAAATATTGGCTAACTCAAATAAMTTAGTTAAATTATTTGATAAGAGACTCTACTAGTTTGAATATAGGTTTGGAACTTCGATTAGTCTATAATTAAACTAATTTTAGCTAAGACACGTACCTTTTCACGATACATATTTAGGCTAAACAAGCTTTAGGAAGAATACATAGCGATCAATTTAGTTTTGCGTCGAAAGTTCTCTCGACGTCCGGTATCAAAAATAAATTACATTTGCCATCTGCAAAAATCTCTATTTTTGACCTCTTCCTGCATCTTGTTACGACAATATTTGAACAGCAGAGAGTATGCTCGCAATTTTCGGACTTTCAACGACTCCATGTGTGCTGAAAATGCTCCTTTACTGAAAAATAATTGCCTATCATCAATGAAGGCTCCTATTTGATTACTGTTGAGATCAAAACATTTTCAAAAGAAATGGTGAAGTTTTGAAAAAAATTATCACAAATATAAACTCGAACTGTTATGCTCCATGTATTAGGGAATTTTTCCACATGAGAAGAGAGAAAAAGAATTCACTCCTTTGTTGTGCGCAGACACCGCCACCGGCAAGGCACGATTATATGAGCAGAGTGGCAAAATCCTTATGTGACTGAATTTCGTATGATTTCACAGCTTATGTGAGCCGAATCGAGTCCAAATGACTGCGTTCTTCGCTTTGCTTGTGTGAACTGTGGCGTTTAGCCGGATTTCTTGCTGTCGAATGAAAATTTCACTTCGCCAAAATGCGAATGACCACCAGAGTGTCCGACGATGCTTTTAGTTTTATTTGCGTTGCTTTCTAACGCACAGTCTCCCCAAAACACCACAACATACCACGAATAGTTGTGTAAACAATCACGCCAAAGCCTTAAGTGATTTCCACTCCGAATGGGCGCTCTTCCTGTGTGCCCACAAACAATCGTTAACATTAGTGGCTTTGTGTGTGAAAGTTGGACAAGGGTCATTAAACAATTAGTTACGAAAATACAATGTAATGGAGTTGATTACAGTCGTAGACACCTGCAAGTGTTCTGCTTGGACTAGCTTCCAAAAAAAAAAAAAAAACTTTAGTTCGAGGTATAGGTTTAGGCATGCACGGCATTTGTAGAAGGAAGTTGGCGGAGATAGTTGGATAGTTGTAAATTGGAAAAGTCCAGCAAGTTGAGAAAACTTGCATAAATTGCATTCTTTCTGAGTAAAATGCTTYTATTGGGGTAAAACTGATAACACTATGCAACAAATTTAAGGGTCATTGTCTTTGCGGGGAAGCAAAACAGTTTTGAATGATGGTAAATTTTTGCAGTGGAGGATGGAGTCATGTGTAGAAGTTCACGCAAGTGAGGAAAGTTCTCTGATCGCCGTTAACTTGGGAGTGGCCAGTAACGATTCTTTTACATATGACTCAAGCAGCTGAAGGCGAGCTAAAGTGTGAAGGCGAAATATCCCCTACATAGAGTTGCGCGCTGGATTTGGGACAAGCAACCTAAAAACACCAACAGTCAATAGTTATAATCAGCGTCGGATGAGACTTATTACCTCAAAGTATTTAAAATCACATATAAAAAATGGATATAAAAATATTTGCTTTGATAATCTCAAAGTATTAAGTCCTAAACACTTGTGATTGGGTTCCATGAAAATCCTTTTAAAAGAGAATTCGACTTTTTACAAAAGCAAAACTGAATTGAACATATCGATTCCCTTTTCATCAATCAGAAAATTACCGTCACTGAACGATTTTTTAGAATTTACAATTTCAGATCTTTCCTTCAAAAGAAGGTTTCTTGCTCAGCAGATTTCAGAGAATTAGCGCTTTTGTATACAGACTGTTATGCCAAMATCGAAGAAGGCGGTATTGGTGCTTGTTAATAAGGAAACTTTTATTATTCCTACATATGTATATCGGAGGACCAAAAATGGCTGATGTAGTGGGCGCCTGGATCGCTCGAACTAGATCTCAGGTAGCTCTTCAGAATACCAGAATATTGCAGTATCTTTTAGGTCTTTAAGGAAAAGACCCCTGCAGCCAAATATGAATATATACGTCGATAGCCAAGCTAAACTTACAGCAATACTCCCACATCCTTTTGCATCAGAGAATTTCCATAGAATCAGAGGCCGTAGATATAGTGCCTCCCTGAGAGCTGTAGTATATTGGGTTCCAAGCCACAAGGGCACTCCAGGAAACGAAATAGTCAATGATTTTGATRAAGATCAGATTTAGATATTAAGTCTGTATTGAACTTTGCAAAAAGCGTTGACTCACCACGTAAACTTCAGCTCATATTAACAAATTAGTAGATATGTATATTCGAACGGGTTGATTTACAAGCAGCCAAAACAATGGAAAAATATTCTAAGCGGAAAATTTTCTACGGATAATTCTGAATAACTTTACCTAAGAGACTATGAGTCCAAAATCGTTTTCAAGCCAGAGATTTTTAAGGTGATTGACCACGAAATTTGTTGCGACCTCTGTGAAACTTGAAAAATTCTCTGTTGCACCAGTGGTTAGTGGATATTATGAAAAACCGTTAGGTTGTGGATATTATTAAAAATGTTTTATGTTTTTAAGAAATGTCAACATGTTGCTCTGAGTTACTGGGGAAGCTTAGACTGACTGCAAGCAAAGTATGACTGAGAACTTCCATGATCGTTTGAACTGCCGTATCCAAGAAGCCACTATATCCTTAGTTTCCTTTCTTAGAGGGAAAAGCTCATGGAATAATATGTCGGAATTCTATTTTTTCTGCATTTCGGATTTTCAGTTTGAACTCTACTAAACTGTAACATGAATTAAATTCTTTCCATAAGATAATTACTCCGCCCTAAATTTGTAAATTGTTGTGTTGTTATGCCTTCTACTAAAAACTTCACTTTCACTGCCTAATAGATGCCATAAAGTGCYTAAAAACTTCGAATGAGCTCCACAATTACAAAAATACCATTTAAAACAGAAAAAGGTCACTTCGTGAAAGTGAAAGAAGAACATAAACACACAACTTCCTTGCGAACGAAATATGACTACCAGTACTACACCAGTACAAACGCGTCTAACAACTTGCAAAGTGCGCGAGCATAGAGTGGCAGGGTAACCACTTGAAAGGAGGTCACACATTAGTAAATGACATAGACGCACTTCGGCACACAGMCAAAGGCACTGAGATGAGCGCCACAGCGTAACCCTTTCATTTGCCATATATGAGTTGCAACAAACATGCGACCAGATAAGTGATGAATATACATAACGCAGAAAATATGTGCTTAGATGAACTGTCGCATCTGGCAACCCCGGCTCGTACACCCGMTCGCAGWACTCACACAAGTACGCCACTTGGCTTGCTGTCAAAATCTCAAAATTGTCTTAACCTCAAAAATGAACCCACTTCATACGCCATTAAATCTCAAGTCGCATGCGACCTCAACGCATTAAGACGAAACGGCAAGGTAGAGCTCACAACATAAATAGGCGAGCTTAGAGAGTAAATGGGAAGGATAACAATGCAGCGGCAAAGGGGTGAGAGTAGAGGACAAGCGTAACGGAATATAATGTGTAAGGCAGTCAGTCGAGCGGATCAGGGCAACTTGGTGCTGGCAGTCGGTTGGTGGAATTCCGGTGGTGAATAGTGATGATGGCCATGCTGAAAAGGCTCAAGAGAGTGTGTGTGTCAGTTGTTGGCCTAGGTTTGGCAGTGGGTGCTGCTAGATGATTCCGCTTGCATGGGTTGTTGTGGCGTTGGCAGGAAACGTCATGCGTTTCATGCCGTTACCATGGCAAAAATAGCCATAAATTATATTTCAGTTCGTTCCATGCAATTACTTGCGAAAACACTCAAAGTGCCACTATGTAGTTCAGCCGGTTGTCGACAGACGCATATGTTTAGGTGTGTGCAATTAGCGACATATATGGCATTTATTTCAGAAAATTGTCAGCGCAAAAATGTAAGAAGATTTTGCATCGGAACCAAAAAAAAAGTGCTCACAAAGTGATTGCCAATTYAAAAAAAGAGCGCTGGCAATATTCCTGGATGTAGTGTCACATAAAAGCTGGCTTAGTCGGAGGTTTGTCTGAAGATGCACAAACTGTTATTAAAGATTACAGTTCTCCTAGAGTCTGAGGTGACACTCAGCTGCTGCTTTGATAAACTAAATGATGATCAATGCTTTTGCTTTGCAACATCGCGGCTTACTTGAAAAATTGTTGCAAACCTTAAGTTACGTCAGTCCAACAGTTTTTCATTTTTAATATAAACGAGAGAGGGTTGGACTTTTGTTTTAAATATTTAGCATGTCACATCCCCAGCTTTGAAAAATTAAAATTGTATTAAGAAGTGGCCTCAAGCCCTTCTGATAAGTTCAGCTGTCTGAAATGAACTCAGTTCCTTGACTTCCAGTCTACAGCTAACCAGTCAGTTCTGCAGAGAAGTTTGCTCTTGTCGTAACTTTATTATCTGTTGGTCTATATCACTAAGCATCTTTTTGCTAGGCAATCTATCTTCTGATTCTTTTCTCATATAAATTTATATTCTTTTGGAAGATAGTGGAGAGTAAAAGATATCCCGTCTCAACCCTCAAAGGATTAGATATTTTATTACTATCCCAAAAGTTAATAGAGCAAAGTCCGCAGGCGAGAGTGTCCTGAGATAATACCTAACAGGTCTCTTAATACTCTCACTTCAGAAGGTGAATATTACAACAAAGTAATCTTGTGGTGTATTGGCTGTCTCTTATACACATCTAGATGTGTATAAGAGACAGCAGAAGGTGAATATTACAACAAAGTGATTTGTGGTGTATTGGTGGTGTTCTAAGAGCTGACCGCATAAAGAGTACCTCTATAATCTAATACTTTGCGTCTGTTCTGAAATAATTTGAATAAAAGTTTGAGGAACTCAACCTGATGGTGAGCAATGTTCACATTTATTGACAATATATTGTATTTCTCCCTACTTCTTCCTCTCTTTCTGCATATATTGTCGTCTACTCTATCCTGAGTCTACGTCAGTGAAGCGCTTTACCTGGCCCGCGGACGGCCGACCTTATTGCTCTCTCACAGATTCGCTCACACGTATTAGTCAAGCGCCCTCTATACATTGTGGAAAATTGATGATGTGCATTTGAAAATCACTTGATCAACGACTGTTGACTGCTACGCATGTAATTTGTATGTGCGCGCTGATTAACAATTTTACTATGTTTAATATTGAGTGGGAAAACAAGTTTTTGTTTTCCGAAAACTTTTTCGGTAATCTTTTCAATGTTTGGAACTACTTATTGTTGCGAAGTTTCGTTTTCCACTTTGAAATTAATAAAATCAAATACTAGAAATAAAATTAGCGATCAGCACCTTGAAGACTTACTTCGTATAAAGAACTAGATTTAGATAAGTTTGTTCAAAACCATGAAAATATTGAGTTTTAATTTTTTGATACAGCCGTTTACATAGGTGAAAACTTCAACATAAATTCAATATTTAAAATTTTTTGAATTTTAATTTTTTTTTTTGACATGTGAATTGTCTTTATTTTTTGTAATTGAAAAAAATTAATAAGGAATTTCATTAATTTCACAATTTTGTGAAAGTTGTCGAATCACTTTCAATTTTTTTTTTATATTAATTAATACTAATTTTTTTTTATTTTTTTGGGTGTAGCACCAATCTCTCTTATACTCCAACACAAGCACACAGTTTGGTAGTGTGCGTTTGGGCATCACTTTTAAGTCACTCGTTATGTCTCTCTTTCTCTCTATTCTCAATAAATCTAATAAAACCAGTCATAACCGCAATTTTTAATCTTCTGTTATTCCAATTAGAAGACAGATATGATACTCCTTACCACTTATCGGACGCTTTTTTGAGAAACGACCAACGTTGGTTTAGTTTTCAATTTCCATGAGCATCTCACAAATATCCGCTAGGTTTTGACCCACGGTAACCATATTATATGCTCCCGAAATGTATAGTATAGAAGTAATCGGTGGTTAGGATCATGAGGTCGCTATCCTCGGAAAAATAAATATGGAGAAAGGTCGTAGGTTTAGTTTTTTCCTGCTRTTCTCTTTCAACACTAGAACAGTCATTAGTCAATAAAATTAAGTGCTCTCCCTGGGATTTCCTTTACTTTAACGTTATATAATWTCTGCCATTATCAAAATGATAATMAAATTATTGCAAAGACACCCGAAAAGAAGGCATAAAATAACGGGACAATTTAATTTTACCGCTATAAATTGACCCTGCTTGCATGCAACATTAAAGCGCTGATTTCGGCGACAACATACTTACCAATTGTTTTTGTAGACTGGCTGCGTCGCCCATCAACGGGCCAACGCTCAGCGACGACTGCTCGGTATCCTTGCGTATAACCCATTCGGTGAGTTCGCGCAGCGACAACAGCAACGCATTCCAATGCTCCGAATTCGACTCCAAACGGTTTCTGCGAATGAAAAAGARCGCACACGAAGTGTATGCGTAAATATGAGAGTGTCAAGTAATGRGAAGAAAAGGCGCTTGTTAGCGCTGGCAATAAAAAAATGCTAATAATAATATAATTTGGGTAAAATGATGCGTTCTGCWCGAGTGAGGGCTGCGGCATATCCCACTCGGGGTTGGACTTGAAAAGTAGAAAAGTAGAAAGAAAAATCGTCGAAATTATGCAAATTGTAGCGTTGCGATGAAATTTAATTTGCTTCAATAAAATGGGTGTCAAATGTACGAAAATGGCTGAAAGGGAAAATATAAATTGAGCAATTTGTCGCTGCTGTCCTTTTAAATTCCACAACAATAGAGTTGTTAAATTTTATTTCTCCCACTTTTCACGCGCTCGTTAAAGGTGTTATAAATTGGCGGTCCTCAAGTCTTACTGTGTAACTGTGGGAGGTGATAAAGTATGCAGTTCACAGCTGGTGCTTTTACTAGATTGTGTATTCGAAGAAGCTAATTAATTGTAAGCAATTTCTAACAATCACATTTTTTTTTAATTTTTAAGTTAAAGTATTACTTTCCCAAAAGAATTACAAATAAAATTTAAGAAATATTTAAAAAACAGGGGGCTGACAGATCGAGAAAACTCCAGAAAATATCTAGAGCAAGGCACCAGCGAAACGATGGAGCATCTTCTGTGCACTTGCCCCGCCAAGACTATGTTGTAAGTATCTGAGGTAACCACGGTAAGATACACTGGAGGAGCTATCGACAGGGAGAGTCTGTTAAAATTCGTGTTAAGCGCAAGCATCTTAAACTCCTACTACCTAATCCTATTGGACTTGGCAACTGAACTTCATCTGGTATCGCAAAGGACCAAAGTGGTTATGCGTGGCTCAGTGGTGTATCAGATTAACCTAACCCAACCCAGTATGAATCCRTATCAATGACATTTTGTACAAAAATTTTACTTTAGCCAATGCTCCTTCAACCAACTCCRCAATAATCTAAACCAATGTGTCGTAGAAGTTTTTCTTAATGACAATTTCACTGCTCAAATACAAGCAAAGGATATGTGAATGAAAATTAGTCGCTGGAGAAAAGGTGCAGCTGGCAATTTGCTGTAAAGAATTCCCAATTAAGCTTAGCTTTAGACTACTAGACCTCTTTAATGGKTTACAGTCAGAAGAGGTTGCTACTAAATTAGTAGTAAACATACTGCTTAGAAATGTAACCTCTTTCAGGAAGGTGAGCATTCCCTGAGCATTCCCTGAGATAGCAGAACGGCAATACTAGCGTTGAGCTTGATAACTGTGACTCTGACTCTACGGTGCGCGTAGTCACAGCAGAATCGTTGAATTTTTTTTTTCTTAACAAGAGAAAGCATCCTTGCACCGCTCATATCGGAGTGAGAACGAGTTGGATTGCCGTTGTCGTCTTGTGTTCTAACAGTGTATATAAATGGATAGCGTGCTCGCTTGACAGRCATTGGTCGACGACCAGCTTCTGCGTCGCTGCAAGATACTTTTGACCTAAAGTAGAACATCGCAAGCTCGGAAGTTCTTACTGGAAATTGTCAAGTGGGCATTTTTGCAGCAAGATTGCAAATTTTGTTGGATGCAAGTTGATATATTTCGGTGGTCACACCTTCAGCGAATAAG